ACTGTAGTGTGACCGTGACACCGCATCACATCACATGACTTCTGTTATTTACACGTATAGAGCAGAACTATTCGATACTCGATGCCAAAGGACATTACATAGACCGCGTCCTTCTCTTTAGTTCCAGAGAGCTGGGCGTCAACGGCATTGGTCGTGTTGCTCAGCAAGCAGTATGGATTACTCAACTATTTATATTTGCTGTGTAAGGTTCTCGAACATTCCGTAATCGTATTACATGGTGTGTTACGTTAGCAGCGGCCTCCACTGCGCTTACTTTATGATAGGATATTATTTCTAAATCCCTGCTCTTCGTATTATTATAAATATATTTATGTTAAAGTACGTGGCGCGTCACCTGCTCGCTCTGCTGTCATAACTCTGACAAAAAAGATAAGTTCACTTAAGCTATGTTTGACAAAAGATACTCGATACTCGACACTCGATACGGCTCTGAGCACCGAGCTGTGCGCACTGACAGACTGACGTGAGATTTCCACATGACATGTCGAGTTGTCGAGACTTGAGACGTGTCGCCGCGCCGGTATCAATGCACTACCTAAGTACATATCGTTGCTGTTACCAATGACTAACGTGAATGTAGTTGGAGATAATGTCATCGGTAAGTTTGGTACATACAAGTACAAGAACTTACAACTAACACATGTGGGAACATTGTCAACATTCAAGGATTGACGTCAGTAGCACAAAGTGCCACTCTAGTCCACTTTCTGCTGATGTAGAGTAAAAGCGAGTTGATCTCCACAAGCGGGCAATGATGTTCATAAGCGTTGTATCCGCTCCGCGCTGTGCCCGTTTTCTTAATTAAGTTATTATCATTATCAACATGATGTGATGTGCTCCTGATCACGTGTTCGTAGCTAAATTGGATTTGATTGTTTATAGCCTATCGAGTAAAGTAACAAGATTCCCACAGATTAGATAGCATATTACTTTTAAATAAAAATAAATATTTGGCAACGACACAGGCAATGAAGCTTAATACGAAAGTGCCTGTGAAATACGCACTAGTTCTCCAGATATACCTTGTCAGGTAACAAAGCGATCTATAATAAGTATATACGTGAGAGATACAATTCAAACTTTCAAACGTGATGTTTACTATTTATCGGCATTATCGGTCTCAAAGATACGTCACATTTGATATTTGAAGGCTGATAACTGAAAATACATTGATTGTATGACGATTCTTTATAATCTATAGAATGTAAATGTTAGAAAGTACTAGTATTTGTCTATATTACATAGTGTTTACAGCAAGATGCAAGTGTGTGTGTGGCGGCCGGCGTGATGCGGGGCCCGGCAGTGCGCGGCTGCCGGCTGGGCTCCGCCGCGAGCTCTATATGTCGGGCTTTATAGGGCATCAGTCCTCAAGAGGGCGTAGACCCCGCATCGCCGCCGCCCGCATTCGCTGCGGTTAGCGCCCGCCCGAGGCGCGCGGTACGTGCGCGGCCCAGGCGCGACACCGACGCGGCACAAGCGCGGCGAAACTTTGCACACCGCTTTTTAAACTATTGTATCATGCATACACATTGTAAATACTATTGGCCGTTCATAGTAACATATTGTATTCTAAGATTTATTTGAGGGGACAGTAGGTAAGACGCGCACATTGTAACGGCAATAAATAGCTAGCAGCCGTACTGCGGACATTGTTGTGGACAGACATCGTTGGCCGTGCGGCTTGCGCTCGCAGCAAGCGGTTAACATAATATGTAGGTATAAACTGTATGTAAAAGGAAATTGTTATTGTTATGTCAAACGACAAAACTGTTCGCTTGTGAAAGTCTTCTTTGTTCTGGTACGAGCTTGCAATATTAACCTAAACAAAAATGATTCATTACAAACTTATGTTTTGTTTTTATTATATCATCTCGTCTTTCAAGTAATAACCAATAAAATAATTAAAACTGAAAAGTTCGCCAAAGTGAGTAAAATCTTTGTCCAAAATACTTCCCCTAGATATATATACCCAGGCACAGAAGAGGCGCGGTGCGGCGCAGCGCGGCGTGCACGTCACCTTCTGTTCCATATATCGCGTCTCTATCTATTGTCTCTCTCCCACTTCTCCATAGTGTATAGCTAGTTGTTAATTTGAAATATCAATAACCTATGAGGCCGAGTGACTGACATAAAATTACTCGGGTGTCAGCTGAGTCGGGCAAAAATCATTGCTCCACGGGGCCAGCCGGCCGCAACTTGCCGCTGTCTTGTTTATTTTTATAGGGCACTTGTTTCTTCACACGACTGCATCATTCAACTGACATCTATTATAGTAAAAGAAATCAGCACAAGCACAGTGCCTGCGCGTGCAAGCGCCCGCGCCCTTCTCGGAAGACGGCAGCGGAGGCCGGCGGCAGGGGAGGGAGGTGCGGGCGGAGCGGACATGATCGTAGATAACATACCGCATTGTCCATGCTCTACATGTTTTTTTTTTTATTTCACTTTACGTTGAAAAGGATTACAAATAAAAAACCGAATGTGTTAAATTCTAGATATGCACATTGTGAACTACGTGGAGTTTTACATGATGGTCAACTTGTATATTATAATAGTACCTGGATGACCGAGCTTTGCTCGGTGTTTTTTTTTTAAATTGTGTTTTTTGGAAATTATATTTAAGTACAAATTACTAATAAAATGATGAAATATGAATAATATTTTTCGATCTTACTGATAGAAAAAGTTAAGTTTATGTTTAAGTTGATTATCGATAAAACACGAATAAAATGACATTTTCTAAAAATGATTCCTAGATAGATCGATTTATCGCCCCCGAAACCCCCTATATACTAAATTTTATGAAAATCGTTGGAGCCGAATCCGAGATTCCATTTATATATATATATATATATATAATTGGAATCTCGGAATATTTACAAAAATTGCTCATTTAAAGAAATAAGATATGTACGCGACCTGCTGTGTTGTGCGACGGTATGTTGCTTTTGACGTGTGTAGTGTAGTCAATGCCGCTTGCACCTTCTTCTATAAAAAGTTTAGAGGTGCGCTGAATGATCAAGTCGTCGATCTGTCGTCCGTCTTTGAGGGCATATCGAGCTGTGAGCAATGCCACATGCCTGCTGTTAGCGAGGCGACTCGACGAGACTACGACGGCTCCATTCAAGCTTGCAGAATCGATTCCGGAGCGAGCGCGACTGGAGCCCGTTTGCCTCGCAGGCACATTAGGCTGTAACGAAACTGTTTTATTGCTCGTAAAAATATACATTTACCGAAATTTTCCCACAGTTTGTGCGCCTTAGCCGCAGCCGTTACGTTACCTTACGATAAAATCGTGTGTAATTTGAAGCTTTTGAGAGAGTAAGAGACATTACACAAATAGAGTGAACTTTATTTGTATGAGGACTTAGTAAAAACTTTAAAGTTCAAACAAGAGGATGAAAGTTCGCTTGGAGAGGTGATCTCTCAGCAGAATTAATTGAACATTTATATAATCACTTGTTAAAACAAATACTGGACTATGCCACGTAAGCTTTTTTGAATGTACCACCCTGTAAAGCTCTCAAATCAGGGGTGAAAGATTTTTATCCGATAGCTAGTAAGTAATAAATAGATTTAATGGAGAATAGAATCGTAATTCAATAAAAAAAACTTAAGAAACGTAATCTTTTGTGTCCTCGTATTCAGAACTCACGAATTTGTATAAGTAACTGGAAGCTGGAAGCATTTGTTGTCGCCGCCCCGGCCCTCTACCCGCTACCCCGCTGCCCCGCTAGTGTTCTCACGACCGTATTCACAGCTGAGAACATGATAATGCCGATATTATAACGCAAAGCGTAGTTATAGCCCATTGTAATGTGTACGTAGAATGTGCCTGGTTCAATGGAATCCGCGCCAGCGTCACTGGCACGTACACCGGGCATCGCACTGCGCCGTGTACTTTAACATTTCAATTGGAGTCGTTCCGCTCTTTCGATAAGCCGTCGCCCCGTTTCCCTTTGTCGTCGAATGCATGCATGGGATTACATAAAACCCGAGCCATGAATATTTGCGCTTCTCAAAAGCGACGCGACGGGCGACGGCTCCCAAACCCCAACCGATAGAGTATAATAATAAGTAGAACCATAGACCCTAGTGCGATATCAGTGAATAAAGCGCACTCGCAAACGTGCTGACTCACCACCGTTTCACCATAATCATGAGGTATTTCAAAATTACTTCGAACAATTCCTGTTTGTTCCGTCGTAAAAAATGTATTACTTCATTTTATTTTTTTCAATTATGTATTTTTTCTAAAATTTAATTTTTTTTACTAATATTAGATATAATACGCATTCTTTATGCAAAACAAACGTATAAAATGCACCGACCTGCGGCGGCGTCACGTATCTACTCTGAGTACTGAAGGCCTAACATGAATAGTTGCGACACTCGTCTTCGTAACGTGACGTGACAAAATGTGTCAAAATTGGTATAAGATTTAGAACAAATTATTTCGATGACTTTACGAAAACGTTTGCTACTTACAATCCCCTTAGATCCATCCACATAAATAATTTAAACAGTACTCCTCAATATTTCATAAAACATTTTGATCACGTCGGATTAATAAAAAAGAATTTTAACTACTAGCGCCTCCTATATTTAGCTTCTCTTGTTACACGATACGGTGACAGGTCTAGTCGGTCCGAGAGCACTGCCATCTAGCGGCAAATTCAGATAAATAACTACTTCATGCAGGTTCAGCACATCAATTAATGTAATAATATCTCCATAGATGGCACGGCACACTTAATACAATATAACATGCTTCTTCCATACTTTTGTATCAGCTTAGCTAATTATCACACCCCTTGCTTGGGATAGGCTCAGAGCTTCTCCCTGGTGACCTACAGTGAGCTGATGATGTATTATTACATAAAACATGTACTACATTACTTACTTCAAGTTGGTTAGTACATTGTAAAAAAAAACAGAAGCATTATACATTTTTATTAGTTTTAATTTATTATCACAGGCAAATTAATTAACTAAGTATAACATAATTTTAATGCTGTAAGTATTTTGAACATTATGCTTAGTATTATTCTATAATACTGTATATGACATACGCGCAGTCACTGTCGCTGTACAATTACTATAAGACTATGTAAACGCACCTATACGCACTTATAGTGATCTGAGTTGGAAAAAATATCATGATAGCTTGAGTTAAGCGACACGTTTCACATAAAACACTCTGGAAGCATTTGTCTAATCCGTGACACTGTGCTTTTATTTGGTTGTCACGATTTTTAAACAGTTTTACTGAAGTCGCTTTAGACGATGCTATAACTACACCAAGAGACTTCCTTCGTCACCATTTCAAAACTGTAAGTGTGTCACCGAGTGAACTAACAAACATTATCTTTGGAGTAGCCAGCCGAAGAGGTCGAGAGGATTGAAGACTCGGAGCTGCGGCTCGCGTTTGCGCGCCGGTGCCGGCGACTTGTAGAGGTAGAGACCGCGGGAGTCGGCGCTACACGAGTAGCCCAGCGAGGTCTCGGCGCCGGCGCAGCCGCCGTCGTTCAACTCGGCCCAGTTGGCGCAGCGGCGGGCGCTCAGGACTCGCGCGTCCGACACCGAGGCCGCATACAGCCGCCACGCCTGCGCGTGGTCGCAGCCTAGCGCCATCGCCGCGCTGCGATCCTCACACTCGGGCTGCGGTGCGAGCACGCCATTGGCGTACACGTCCGCGTGCCCGAGCGGCTCCGCGAGGCCGAGCACGCCGGCGCTTGTGTGCACCACCTGCACGAAGCTGGCATCGCCGCTCGCTAGCCGCCAGCGCGAGGGGCGCGCAAAGCAAGGCCGCGCGGGGTCCAGCGCCACGATGCGTTCCAACCGTTGGTGCAGGTGCTTACGAACCAGCTTTCCGGTGACGCCGGCCACGTGTGCGCCAAGACTGAAGCCAATCAGCCGCACCGAAGACAGCGGCCACCCCTCGGCATGCAGGCTCTTTATGAATTTGTAGAGTCGGTGCGCAAGGCCGCCCACGCCGGCCGCGGAAGCGATGTACCCCTTGCAGAAAACGGGGCGCGTGTCTAGGAGCAGCACGGTTTCGTGGCGGTTCAGCAGTGCGGTGACTATGGCAGTGCTGGAGTCGTCGTGCGGCGTGTTCCACCAGCCGGGCACGTATATTGGCAGGGCGGATGCGGCGGGCGCGGCGGGCAGGAGTACGCGTAGTCGCTGGTGGGCCACCGATAGTGGGTAGGTTAGCTGCGAACCTTGCCCGTACTCTATCAGCTGAATATCGGGTACGTGCGTCTGCGAATACAGGGCGTCCAGCGGCAATGCGTCGCCTGTCAACATGTAATTATTTTTTTTAATACGTAGGCCAAAGTAATTTAACTACAAGAAAAGACGAACCGAGAAGTCAGGGTGCGACATGAAACCGCTAACAACATAGTTATTATTCTGATGATCTTGTGCTGCCGCTAAAAGGCACTTATTATGAAAATAATAATTGTCATGAAGCGTTCAAGGGTGCTTCTTTAATATAATACGTACGGGAATCATAATATTATTTTAGCACATAGTTTATTAGTCGCATTCTTTTAAACGAATCTAATTGAAAACACTTGAAGAATTTTAAAACAATTTATATCTTTGATAACTTCTACCTCTCAGGAACTCGATCTTTTTGTGAAGTCGTAGATTAATTGAACAAGTAATCAACTTTGAGCTATTGTTCCTATAAGATTTATTGATAAGAAAAACTCTATTTAAAATATGATTAAGCATTCATTTGTTATCTTGCTTGTTTTTAATGTAGTGTGAATAACAGCCAATAAGTAAACACTCAGCCGGACACTTCTTACATATTTCACCTATACAAAGCGAGTATACATATATTGTTGTGGTCTATTTGAACACGGGAAGGGTTTGTTTACGCACAGGAGTTAGAGGCGACGCGCACCAGTTCCTCTAAGCTGGCCCCCAGCAGCGGCGGCAGCAGCTGCGCCAAGTCTGGCGCCTCAGAGCTGCGCCCACCTTCCGAGCCCGCGACACCCACCGCGCCCAGCACACCCAGCGCGCCCAACGCGGCCAACAGTGTGACCGCCGCGCAACGCGCCATCTCCCGCACTGCGCGCGCTGCTGTCTGTGCGTGTCGGCCGCAGAGGTCGCCTCTGCCGATGTAACCGGTCCGAGTCTCGCTCGCGTTTTGATCACTCAGGAAGTCGTCGTCTGTTATTATACCAGCATTCAGATTTGCCGATTGATTTATTCGTGTAGGCACGTCGACTTTTTCATTTGACATTGATGTAAGTTATTATTGCCCATCTCAGCGGTATCGTACTGTGATAAACATGGAAACGTTGTGTCGTTTTGGTCGCAGCGAGTTGCGCATGCGCACCGTGTAATGTGATGTGTCAGGTTGTCATGATGAACTATTCCCACGTTTATCTTTTCTTCTTTTGCCATCTTAAACTTTAAATATAATTGTATATGTATTTACAATCTTATAATAAATCTTTAAATGGGCAATTCTCGTATATATATATATATATATATATATATATACATATAATTGGAATCTCGGAATCGGCTCCAACGATTTTCATACAATTTAGTATATAGGGGGTTTCGGGGGCGATAAATCGATCTAGCTAGGAATCATTTTTAGAAAATGTCATTTTATTCGTGTTTTATCGATAGTCAAAATAAACATAACCTTAACTTTTTCTATCGGTAAGATCGAAAAATATTATTCATATTTCATCATTTTATTAGTAATTCGTACTGTAATATATGTTCTTAATGAAAAAAACTTTATTCGTACTTAAATATAATTTCCAAAAAACATAATTTAAAAAAAATACCGAGCAAAGCTGGGTCATCCAGATTTTTATTTATTATGCATACAAAGGCGTTGTAATTGCTACAGGATTGTGCAGAAACTATCTAAACTTATCTTTACACTTAGAATTTATATATTATTAAATACATAAATCTTGCTGTTCTTGAAGTAGAAGGAAGGTAATAATAATGCCATTATAATCCTACGCGAAATAATAAATTGTCTATTTAGGTGTCGACGCGCTCTGCGGATTTCCGTGCAGTTTGCATCATTTCAGTTGCGCGCCGGCGCCAGGTCGCCAGGTCGGCATTCACCACCACCCCACCGATTCCAATAAGAAGGTACTACTGTTGTCATTGTCAGCGCGAGCCGGACCACCCGCCGCGTCGCGCTGCCTTTACAACAAACACATTAACTCACATATTGTCGCTGTGTACTCCGTATCGTGAACCTTATTCATTCATTACCAATGCTTCCTCGACGACGCTCGAAAACATTACAAAAAACATTAACATAAATTACATAATACTGCAATTTATATACAGCAGCGCGACAAACACGGAAGTTCACGTAATTCCACGTTTTTATATTATTTGGATGATTCATATTGTATATGTTTAATACCTCATATACTTCCCGGACAAGCGCACATCACCGACATTTGCCCGGAGTCGCGTATCATCTCCCCGTGTGACAGCCGACAGTGTACTTATAAGTGAAAATAGCTCCACCGACAAGCACAACTTAGACCTTAAAATAATGATAATGCAAACAAACCGAAGATAAAAGAAATTTATCTATATGTAGGTACTGGCGCCATCTCTTTGTTACATATTTGACTGCCTTAGACCTATGAAACTTCTATTCCTCGCGTTTCTCATTACTTACCTTTTTATCAATATCAGTATTATTACTTACCTCGGCTATGATATAATATTTTCAATTTGTTTAACAGCAAAACTACATCTCCTATTCATGTCTTTTGCATACATTACGCTGCGATCTTTTGTTGTGAATCTCAAAAGTAAATATTGTTAGTAGTAACAGCGCGATGTCTGATCGTGATTAATCGAATTAATTAAATTAATTACAGTTATCTAAGCTAATGATAAACAGGAAAATAAAATAGTGGCATTCAGTAATTGGAAGATAATAAGTAAAGTGTACTTTTGCTCAATGAAAACTGAATAGTTAACGATTAAGACCTTCAAACAACAAGTATCTCGCTTGCGGCTGGCGGCTGGCGGCTGACGGCTGACAGCTCGCTGCAGAAATTGAGCAAGGAGGTTCTTATTTTTCATTCTGTGATCCAGATTTTTTAAATATCTAGTAACTCTAACAGTCGACAATCTTTCTTAAAACAAATTCAATACTTAGCCAGGTATACATCGACAGTTATAAATCAATGTTTGGACAATGCATTAAACATGTCACCTGTATACGTAACACTTTTGTTGAATCAATAACTTTATAGTCACGAATCGCTTTACGTAATGTACAAACATTTGTGTTTAGATCACTCTAATGTTTACGTATTACTTAGAACATGTAGTCAAAATTGTGTTTTGAAGTTGTACTTGGAGTGGCGGGCGGGAGGCAGCGGGCAGCGGGCAGCGGGCCAGCACACGCCACGTCGCGTGTCCATTCTGCGTGATGACCATTAGGTAAATCTGCATTAACAATACCATCAGTCGTTGTCTTCTAAATAAATCAAAATAATAAAGAAAAATAAGCACAACATTGTAATGTCTGACATTTTCGTACATAGACATTAAAGCAAACTTATTCAATATTTTATGAAACTGGGCACTAGCGCCACCGAGGTACACGCGTTAAATGACCATCAGAGAACATCAGTCAATACTCACGACTGAAGACCTCTCATCCTTCCGATCCGTCCTCACACCGTCAGCTCTTAAGAGGTCAAATTGCAGTTATATGGAATCTATATTGGAATCGGGAAAAAGTTAGAAAAAAAAGCAAACCGATATTGTGGAGCGCACAAACGCTTTTCGCTTCAGAACGAGGCGACGTCGGAGTTGTATACTTAGCTGAACAATCGGATATTATATTTACTTAGCAAATCGTCATCGACATAAATTTGTCAATAGAACGAAACGAGCTTATATAAACACGGTGCATTATTTTGCAGCAGATTCATTAACAAATCGCTGAGAACAATGCGCTAGGGCCGGTGTTGCGGCAGCAGCGCTATTGTTTGTTACGCTACTTCACTTTCTATTAAGGATTAAATAAAATAAACAAAATAGTGTGTGTGTCAGTGCGGCGTGCGGTGCGGCGAGAGATCGGTGTGGTGAGCTCGGTGTGGTGAGCTCGGTGTGGTGAGCTCGGTGTGGTAAGCTCGGTGTGGTGAGCTCGGTGTGGTGAGCTCGGTGTGGTAAGCTCGGTGTGGTGAGCTCGGTGTGGTAAGCTCGGTGTGGTGAGCTCGGTGTGGTGAGCGCGGTGTGGTGAGCGCAGTGCGGTGCAGGTGTGCGAGCGAGGCGGCGCTATGGACTGGCCGCATCTCCGGCTGCTGTGGGTGCTTTGCTCGCTCTACTCACTGATCGCGCGCTGCCGCTGCTTCCCACTCAGCGTCGAGGAGGTATTACATTTGTTGTATAGTTGAAGGTGATCAAAAGCGGGCGGGCTATTTGATGTCGAGAAGGTCTGGTGATCGTCAGTGATATCGACAGCGATTCTGAATTTAAAATATATTTTATAGCTGGAAGACGAGGTGACGACTGCGGGCGCGGGCGAGGCGGACGACTCGGGCGAGAGGAAGTACACGACGAACTCATGGAGCTTCGACGATTACACGTCAGTGACTCCTCCGGCCGCGACGCGAAACGCGGCCGATGTCGCCGCTGCCGGCATCGAGGACGAGCTACACGCGCTGCGCAAGGTCGCCGAGATCCTGCTGTTGCTCGGAGAACAGGTGCTCACCGGTTAAAACTCTTGCCTCATTATTTACCCCTCAGCGCTAATCTCATATTTATTTTATTAACCTAATAAATAAACAGCAATAAATTAATCAATTACTCCAATAGAGGAGTCCAACTCGTAAGGTATAATTTCTCTTGTTTGTTCTGTTCTTTATAATGCCCAAGATGAATTAATTATATTGATTTATTTCAGGTGATTCCGATTATAATAGGAGATCCAGTCAACGACAGATGTTACAAGAACAAAAATGATTTCAGAAGACACGGAGTAAAAGTCGCAACAAAATTATCTTGAAAAAATGCAAGTGCCCGGAAAAATTAAGGAATATTCCTCAAGTTTGAGAAACATTCCAAAACCTGTGGTTACAAAATCTAAATTATAATTTATAAGTCAGTAACATAAAATGACTAATGTCGTTGAAACATGTTAATGATGTTAATACATCAATCAATTAAATAATAGTCTAAATATACGAGTAAATCACATCTTTTTATATGTAGGTAAAAGTGCAGCCAAAAATTGAAAGTCACTTGTAGAATATATATGTGTATGTTTATAATAAGCGGGTTTTATATATAATAGTAGGCGATGTAATTAGACGCGCTCGTGATAATTGCGTGTAAGACAAACTTTTAAATTGAAAACTGCTAAAAACTTGTGAAGTGTGCTTCAAACTCATAGAACCTTGTTTGTTGAGCATTGACAGAGCGACCTTAACATTTCCATATGTGAAGTAATCGGCGCATCATTTCTAATAAACCGCCAGTAAAGCAGTGTACAATAAAACTGTAGTTCTATGTATAGATATTATTAGTATGTATGTATGTATGTATGTATGTATGTATTATAAATGAAAAGATTGAATAGTCCACGTTTGCAGAATTGTGATGTAAGGTTACAATCATGATGGTTCAGTTTCGTACGGGTAGCGGTGCGTGCGAATGCAACGTATTCGTGACTAGCAATTATTTTGCCACAGACACTGAATGTTCTGTTGAAGGACATCATATATATTTAATATCATATTTAAGCTATTGTTATATTTTTTGTATACAAATGAAGATGTTATAATTCATTAAGATTTACGCTATTGTCTATTCTTTTATGCTCAGTAAAACAATTCGTCATAACTTGAAAGACCTAGAAAAGAGTAAAATAAACGAATGACACACTGCTGTTTGAGTGTTTATCTAACCGAACCTTGCTGTGCCTTGTTAAAATTCCCTTATCAAACAGTTTTACTTTTAAGAACAATACGAAGCTCAGTTCACTGCGAAAACGGATAATTTGTTAACTAAATAGGACCGGCACTATTGAAGGTGTGCTAAATTATCAAAGGTTTATCATGTTACGGCTTCACGCGACGTGACCTCTGCAACTTAATCGTTCACGCTGACACAGAATGACTGTCAATAACTTAATCAATCCTCGTTAAAAACACTGTAAGGTATACATATATAGGTAAAATAATTTTGTTAAATGTTTATAACTATGTACATAGTAGATGTGCGTAGATGTATGGGTGCAAGTAATACGAGAGGGATGACGCACGATATGTTTTCCTCCGCCTCTGTGTTCTGGCTTCTGTTTAGGACCTGGCGTCCTGGCCGTCCCCACCGGAGTACATATGAATTTGTCTGTGGACTGCCGCGGCGCGTGTTTGTTCTGTTGTTACAAAACTGTTAACGAAATCAAACAAATATCTTAAGTCAAGGAAATTATTGGTATGCGGGCCTTAAGGTCATTGCTATGGTCAATATTCGGTCGTTAATATAATAAATTATTGAATAATAACGACACTAAAACCGTTCTGTGCAATACTTTTATTTGTGTAATCATTGCGTGCAGCACACTATAAACAGACACGAATCTATGAATCTATTTTTTTTGTTTAATGAAAGTAATTAAACAGAATTATTGTGTTGATTAATGCTGATAAAGTTGTTCGTTTATGAATAATAAATTTATTTGACAACAATTAAGTTTTCAGTGTCATGTGAGTGACTTTTACAACACGACGCTGCCGCTACAGCGCGCCGCCAGTATCGTATCGCGAATAACGGGCGCAGCCGCCAGGATGCGCACTGTAGACCCGGAGCGATGGCCCGTGAGGGTTGGACGCACCCGGCTCGTGGCGGCGCCGCCCGGCCCGGGCCTGCGCGAAGCCCGGCTGCGCGCCAGCGTGGCCGACGCTGTCGGGGAATTCTGGCAGCGCGGCCCCATCAGTGGACACACATACGTCAAAGAAGCTGCGAATAATAAACTAAGGTGAGCAGCGGACGAAGGAATCCTTATGAAATATGGAAATACTCGTAATGACCTGTAGCTAGTAAGCTGTAGTAGTACTCTTGTACATTACAATGTAAAAGCCGAAGTTTGAAGTGTTATCTGCAGGGGGGTGTACATATGTCTGTTGCTGTGCGCGGTGGTGTGCGGCGTAGCGGTGAGCGTGGCGGTCGAGCATGCGCTGGCAGGCCGGGTGCCCACCGCGACCACCCGGCTGGCCGGTGGACGTCAGCTGCGCCGCCTCGACTTCCCCGCGGTCGCCCTCTGCGCCACCAACCTCGTCAGCCGAGCCGCGTTGCGTGACTACGCCCGCAAACTGTAGGTCTCGCTCGCACGCACACACCCCCTGATACGACCACCTCGCAAAAGTGCAAAATATAGCGATGTAGTTTTTCGCAGGAGCGAGCTGGACGGCAACCGGACATACGCGCGCCAAGAGCTGGAACGGCACCTGACGGCATTCGGTGCGCTCAGCGAGATGGTGGGCGCGCCCGCGGACCTCGATGTGCGCTTCGCCAGCTTCCTGGCCACGCTTGGCCATCGCAACGTTTCCGACATCGCCTACAGGGTGATCCCGACACTCCTCCTCATTTGTTCTTTAGTTTCAACAGTACTAGATGACGCGAATTGATCTGCGTGAAGATTGTAATTTTAAATACCTGATATAGTTCAGTTCATATGTAATTTATTCCGAAAATTAGACAATAAAAAAATAAAGTAACAGGTAGAAAAAGTATTTAGGTTTAAGAAAGGGGTTTTACATTGAACATAGTAGGGTTTTACAACTCTCATATAATTTACTCGCTGCGCCCGCGTCTTCGTCCGCATGATAAATTATCTTTGGGTAGCATTTTAATTATTTAGGGTCCTTATTTTACTAACACTTATATAATAGTAAATATAATAACAAATCATATTAAACTTCAAAACATTCTTACAAACTTTACATATTCTAATACCAACTTTCATCCTCTATTCCATTTTATTATGTTGCACCCTTGAGGGTAAAAAGTAGCCTTTACCGTTAAAAAGTAGTATTAAAAATGTAAAGTAAGGATAAGGGATATCTGAGAACCGTGAAGGGCTACGTTTTGTTATATAATTCTTATAGCCGGAGAACAGAAACGTGAGGTACACGTGTGCGTTTGTGTATGTGTGTGCGGCAGCTGGCGCCGCGCTGCTCGGAGCTGCTGGTGCGGTGCACATGGCGGGCAAGAGCCATGCCGTGCGAGCGGCTGTTCGCGGCCCGCGCCACTCCGCACGGCTACTGCTGCACCTTCAACGCCCGTTACCAGTGAGCTTTACGTCACAAAATCCCACACACTTAAACATTAATAGGTTTAAAATTTAAATGTGGCGATATTCTTAGTTATATTTAAAGGAAAAAAAAATTGTAAAGTGTACAAAATAAAATGCTGTGATGCAGACGAAATACGAAAAAAAGACTCATAATGGCGGGGTGGCAGGCCGGAGGACACTGGGCGACCGGCGTTGCGACTAGCGGCGGCGGGGCGCGACGCGGGGCTTGGCGTGGTCGTGCACCAAGACAGCGAAGACTTCGCCTACGTGCGCCGACCAACCGCCGGAATAGAGGTACAGATACAACGCACGGTTGATGATCTGTGTGCCTTCCTCCCACAAAATCCAAGGTTTCTAGGAGGTAAGTGCAATGGATCTAATTATCCAGCTTTAACACTGAGTAGAAGTGAATGCGCCAGGTGATGATCTGGGAGGGCAGCGAGTACCCCGTGCTCGGGGGCGGCGGGGTGGCACTGCAGATCGCGCGTCTCAATGCCTCCGTGTATTTAACGCTGAGCGCGCGAGAGCTGCACGCCCACACCAGCCTGCACGAAGTCTCCGAGCGCAAGGTATTGCGGGACGGTACGAGCAGATTGACACGCTCGCGCAACTAAACGGGGGAGGTGTGTGCAGCGCGGGTGCCGCATGCCGCCGGCGAGACATGGCACGGCGAGGGACAGCATGGCGTGGTGCATGCTGCGCTGCCGCGTCGCCGCAGTGCGCGTGCTGTGCGCATGCACGCCACATCTCTACAAGCCGCTGTACCCAGACAATGACTACGAAACCTGCTCCTTGGATCACCTGCTGTGCCTCAGCAAATACCGAGGTGAGTGCGGATGGGCAGGGGCTGCGTCGCACAGCACAAAACTGACCGATAGCTCGCTGCAGAGACGCTGCAGTCCTACGCCACGCAGGAGGCGGCGGGGGCGGGAGAGCAGGAGTCGGAGGTGGGTCTGCGCTGCCCGCACTGCCGCCGCGACTGCGCGCGCCTGCAGTACTCTGTGCGTAGCGCACACTCCCAGTACCACCACCTGCCCAAGCTCTTCAAAAACATACTATCGTAAGATCAAGGCTTCTTTATTTTTTTCTTTCATTTATTGACACATGGCAATTTCAATGGAAATTCTTATGAAAGACGTCTCACATCCTGACGTCAAAGTCATTTAAGGGAAACAAATGCCGAAGATCTAATTTAAGTGACTATGTGTAATATTTGTGTGCAGCCGTGACATATCCTTCGTAAACACGTCGGTGATCCGCGTGTACTTCGCGCGCTCGCACCAGGACCTGCTGGTGGCGGAGACCAACCTGCGCTGGTTCCAAATCTTTAGTAAGTTAGTGCGGACGCTAGCGTTAGACAGACAGTGTGAGAAAGAAATGCATCAAATGACTAACGGTAAATTGTGGTTATAGATAGGATATGTGTAAAATTAGGATGAGTCAGCAATTAGTGGTGTGATAGGCAGCTAGATAGTGTTGTGGGTTGTGCAGGTATGCAGAGCAGTCAGTGGGTGTGTGTGACGGGTGTGACGGCGGTGAGTGTGCTGCAGCTGCTGTACCACGCGGGGCCGCGCTTGCGACACCACTGGAGCCGGCGCATGCGACTAGTCGCCCGCCGCGCGCGCCGCTGGTCGCTCCTGGGCGCCCAGCCCCGCTCTACTCTCACTTCCCACCGACTTCTAAAATTCGATATTTCGATGGATCATTAGTGCACCCTGCTTCAAATTACGTCGCCTTTGCCACAACAAAAGGAAGGCGGAAGGAGGCTGGAGGAGGAAGGTCACTTTCCTGGTATTTATTTGTTGTAGACGCGGCGTCAGAAGTTTGGGATGGTTAAATAAAAATATTCGGCTGGTAACTTTGCTTTATTACATACAATTCTACAAGTCACGAAGTTCTTGTTCGAAGTTAATTTCGAGTTTGTGTGAGTTCAGTAAATGAGTTCTCCATAAACAATTGTATCACTTTCAATCAATAAATAACAAAATCGTACTCGTGTTCAAAATAAATAAATAATATCACTAACAAATGTTTTTAATTTTTTAAAAATAGTATGTCATAGTTATAATTTTCAACATATTGTTATGTCGTGTGTGTGTGTGTGTGTGATGACGTAGTATTGTATCACACACACACACACACACATATCTCGCGTGTAATTGAGTATGATTGTATTGCAATAGGAAAGATATTAGATATCTTTTTTGTTCCTGAAATATTGACACGCGTCAATACATTATGGTATTCATTACTTACATAAAGACATCGGAAATATCAAATTAAAATATGTATATACATTCAATCACCTAAGTAAAGTTTTGCAGAAAAACTAATGTTAAAATTGACGTCTAAAAATAAATTCAGTAAAAAGTAGGGCCGTCATTTGATGAGGCCCAGAGGAGAGAGAGTAACAACTAGTTAATGACGCTTTGGTGCAGATACTGTCGACAATACTGGTCGACCGCTGCAGAAGTGTCCCCCGCTTCCTGCAGCCGACATCGCGAGTCGCACTTTACGCGAACAAATCGAGGACATTGTAATGAACATGATATTTATTATCAGTCGCATTAATCGCTTTAATTAATAACTATAAATAAATCAATTTGCTTTAATACAACTCCAACAACTATGAAGCATATCTTAAAAATTGTTCATCACAAACATGTTAGGCGTTGTACAAATACTGAGGGTAAAATCTATAAAGATTAGTTAACAATCGATCAAAAGATCGACGTTAACTTTTCATTTTTCTTCCGATTTCCGATTTAGGCCTTTCTTAAACGAACATTAAATACTTTTACATGACAATAATGTTATAATAGATAACGTATCTATACAAACTATTTTCTATATTTTTATTACAAATGTTTAAATTGACTAAAATATAATTATAACTTAAATTTTTATTACATTCTTTTCAAAAATATACGTTTTTTAAATCGTCAGAAAACATTTAAAATGTTAATTTGTATGTAATTATTCTCATTGTCCAATGTCATTACTAGATAGATAGGATTGTTTTAGAGCTTTGTAATAGGTACGTACGTAATTACTGAAATATGTCAACAACAATAAACAACATCTTTGTTAATTTGAACATAACCACATAGTTTTAAAAGTACGCGAGTGCGACTTCGTCGCCGCGCCGACCGCTCACTGGCGCGCCGCCGGCAGCGCCGCCAGCAGCGCCGCCAGCACCGCCGCCAACACCAGCAGCGGCGCGCCGCCCTCGCCCGTTCGCGACGACCGCGACAAGATGCCCTTCCCTGGAACATGGAGACGAGGAGCTATGTAGCAGGCAAGGGGTAGGAGGGCGAGGTGGACCGCTGAGATTGGCAATGGTACCGACATCTGTGCGCGAGGCGGCGCAGGCAGCAGCAGTCGCGGAGGCGCGCGTAGCGGGCGCAGTCGTGTGCCAGCGGGCGGCAGCGGCCCGGGCCCACGTAGCAGGTGTGCGGCAGCCAGGGGAAGGGCTCGCGCAGAAAGCGGCGCTCGCAGCAGCAGTGGTCTGCCAGCACGCGCGTCTCGCAGTACTCCAGATCGCGCCGGCTGCACGCGCCGCACCCCACGCGCGTCGCCGGCACTGCAACACCGACACAACATCTCACTCTGCCAATATCTTCCACTCAATACAGGCTAATTATGTGATCAATCAAAACGGACTATAATTTTTTACAGGATTGTCTCACCTCGTTAAACTTGAGATTTCTACACCGATCACGCATAACAACATCCATATTGTGTCTAAATGAGCGCACGACATTACAAGCGGTCAATTATAATATCATCGTATTGGTACAGCAGGCGCACACGTCACCTGGGAGAATATTAGTGCCTCATTGCTGCGTCAATGATACCTTCGTGGACCTTACTTTTACGGTTGATACATCAGCCACAATAGGTTTGCTTCGCAACTTGCATTCTTATGAAATCTAGGATCAGCATCAGCAATACATGAATGCTGATATATAAAAGTTCTCTATATATTCGTAGCTTACATATTTAGCAATGTGCGTCTGTTCTGTTGTGATGACAATACAATGACGTAATGTGCATTGTGCATGTACACTGTATCTATTCTATTGATTTCTAACGTAGCTAATAGCTAATATCATGAATCGATATATCGCATCGATTCCAACTAAAAATAATTAGATAAAAACTTAATGCATGCAAAAAACGTTTGGCGGCAATCGTAACGCAAATGGAGAGCTGAGTCTCCAGCAAAAAGTAAAACGGGACCGCAGTCGGCTCGGCAGGCAACGACTTCATTAAAAATCTGTCTTCCATATGATGAATACACATTTAAATGAACTGAAGCTATCAAAAATCCTCAGATAAAGTACACATTTTAATATTTCATGCCAACCACATATAATGATATCTAAGGTCGGTGCAATGAAAAGAATATAAGTATAGAGTGTGCAGCAAATGACAGAGGCGGTGATAATGACGCGGTGGTGTGGAGGACGCAGTGACACCAGCCACGCCCCCCCCTCCCCCTCCCCCTCC